GAGTGATCGCAACTCTACGGCGCAAAGAAGCCCTGTGCGATCTTGCTGAACAGTATCCGCCTTCTCAATTGTTGATCGTCCAGACGGATGTCGTAAAGACCTCGGAGGTCGTTGCCGCATTCGCAAAAGCCAAAGAGGTGTTCGGACGTGTCGATGTTGTGTTCAACAACGCAGGCATAGCTATTCTCGGAGAGATGGAGTCTATGAGCGATGAAGACGCTCGTCAAGTCTTCGAAGTGGACTTTTGGGGTGCATCAAATGTCACAAGGGAGGCTATCCGGATGTTCAGGGAAGTGAACAAACCTATCGGAGGAAGATTATTGCAGGTTTCTTCTTCGTTGGGCTTATGTGGAATAGCTGCAGCGTCCTACTATGCCGCATCGTGAGTGAGCATGTCCATGCGTGATTTCAATGCTCACCAACAACTACTTCTGACGATAGTAAACAGGGTAAGCATGTTTGTCTAAGGTCATAGCAGTATCTCAAACTGGATATCCAGCATTGGAAGGATTTAGTGAGAGTCTCGCACAAGAACTAGACCCAGCTTGGAACATACAGGTTTAGTCAATTTAGTCTGAAGATGGAACTCAAGCTAACGCCAGGTAGATCACCATAATCGAACCAGGTCCATTCCGGACGGGGATATTCAGGGGCAACATGCAACTTGTTCCTCAACATCCAGCATATGCAGACCCAGAGCTACCTGGTTCTAAATTCCGCCAGTTTATGACTTCAAACCTGGCTGATGGAGACACTGAAAAGGCGGTGGTGGTCATTGAGAAGCTCACTCACCTAGATGATCCACCGCTAAGATTTCCCTTGCACAGGATTGCAGTCAGAGCAGGGAGAGAAAAGGCAAAGAGTCTCACTGAAACTATAGATAGATATGAATCATGGACAGAAAACGTCTACTTCACGTAGTACAGCTGATGCGTCGTACTTAGTTTAGACAGCATTGGACTTGACCATGAATGTGGCGGGATATTGATGACATTTTTGGTGTGCCTCCTTACACGTGGGATTATAGCTGTGTAAGGCCAGCGCGAGGCTGCTTGAGTGGGAGACAAGCAATGGTTGCACGGGAAGAGTGAGAGATATGACACGGAGGTTTGTCAGACCACAGACCTTTCCTTCGGTGAACACAATCTCCGATTGATCTCTGGATAGTAGACACGGATGCTGCACATAGGGTCGAGTCCAAAATAGCTGTCTCGTCGATTGGGAATCCTGCCACTTGCTCATCAGTCGTCCGCTTCATCAGCCGCAGCATACTGAACCGCCCTATTTCGCTGCCATTCGTGTTAGGTCCCCGAATCATTGATAAGGGTGTGTAAACAAAGCTTTGAGGGTCGTCATTCATAGCGAGAAACAATTCGTGCTCCATAGTCCGCGTCAACCACAAGGATGTTTGCTGTCATCTGGATATCATTATAAATGTATGAAGTGTCTGGAGCACCATGATCAAGAATTATAAGTGCGGCACCAAACTAGTCCACGACACCACCTTGTATGCATCAGGAGGAAGATTGCGTAAAGTGGTGAACATAAGTACCAAGAGGACGACACGAGCTGTGATGTACAACGTGACAAGTGCGCAACAAGTCATAAGATATACGCCCCATATGATGTGCCTTTCTGAATCGGGTAGGCGTCGTACTAGATCGATTATTTCCGAGTTTAAGTAGGCACTCAAACAAAGGCAGGGTGTGCAAGTTGTAACGACGGCACTTATGCGCCATAGCACCTGTTCCTCGTATGTTGGGAACGCAAAAAACCAAGCCATACAGTGGATGCCGCCAAATATGATTGCCATAATCAATGCAGCTTGCTGAAGAATCGTTTTGTCCGAAACGTCGAGTTCGATGCTGCCATCAAATGTTGGAACTTGGAGTTTTCGAGATGTGGGAATATCAGCCCAGCCTATCAGTTCTATAATTGGGCTGAAGACTCGAGGCAAGTATCGAAGCTGAGCGAAGTCATCTCTGTCACTGATACTAAGGCAGACATAATTAACAATGGTATAATTGTTTAGGCGCATACTACATACTCAATGTGATCCTCGGGCCTTGATTCGGTCGACTTCCAGTACACTGGATGTGGACATCGCACATCGAGAGGCTTGTCCCACCACAAAGCATAAGTTAGGAAATTAAGAACCGCAAAAGCGAGTGTTCCCACTTCGAGCTGAGTGGTTTCGAGGCGATAGATGACGCGGGTGATGAGCTGCATAACGAACCAGGCCACTTGAAGCATGATCAATCCTTTCGATATCGCATTGCCTTTGCTTTTGTCATGAATCTGGTTTGCTGTTAGGGTAGGAACTTTGATACATTTGTCATGTATCAGTTTGAGGATGTGCTTAGGTCGTAGCGTACGGTAGGGTTCCTCGTTCACATAAAGCATAAAACCACCCATGAGCACAAAGAAGCTGTACGTCCGAGTCCACGTAAGATCTAAGGATGCATATGAGTCAACATTGGGGAGAGCACGAATCTGACTCACCTTCCGAGTCGGACTCGGAGTGCTCTGACTGAATCCGCCTTACAACCCACGTCACGAGAGCACAAAGGAGACGCCAAAGAGACACCGGCACACCTGTAACAAGCATGACAGAGAGGCGAACGAAAGCCTCAGTCAAGCGGAGAGAGAGGCGAAGGAAGGGGTTTGCAGTTTCAGGTGCTTCGACAAACTCACTTGCTAGAAACATAGTGAGTTGTGGGATGCCACAGAGTTTCGAAAAACCCAACTCACCTTCAGACTCCGGACGAACATTGGGATACCCCGATTCCTTGAACTGTCTGGTAACTTGATGAGCGCTGAACAACTGGCGCATAGCCCATGTAACGATCAGCTCAGGAGCGATTAGCGCCATTATCATGATTCCAAGTTGTCGCCATAGAATGTGATACCAGCTGCTGTTCTTAGGACTTGGGATATTGGGGTGGATGGCACTGTATATGCATGCGAAAAGAGTGAGAACAGAGCTGGAGATGATAGTCCATAAGGTTCTGGTCGTGAATGACGGGGCTTTAAAACTGTCGTTAGTAGTAGTAGTATTTGTTGTGTTTGGTGTAGGTGAAGCTTGGATTACTTCGATGAGGTAAAGGAAAATGCAGAAAAGTGGTAAGCACATTATTAATATTGAATGTCACTTTGGGGTGCCCGGTGTATTGCGACATGCATCTTGTTCACTATTTGTATGTTACTGGCAGGCGTTAGTACAAGGCTGAGAATAGGCTGTTCTTATCTCTCGAGCGTTCCGACGTTCTCGAAAACAAGATACCTGGATCCTTGGGTACCCTGCCCATCGCCGCTGCCTCCAAAACTTGACGTTGAACGTTAATATTGTAAATGGTACTGGCACTTGCCGCAATATGCCACCAATGTTGTTATCTATGCACTCTTTTTTCCGTGCTCCAGTGGGCGTACGGCATGCTTCAACCTCGGTTCTGTTCTTGCTAAGCACATGCCATCCCTTCAAGTGTTTCGTCGTGCATACATGCAAGGCTATGGCTCTGATCGCGGCCCTTGGCGTTATCGTCTCTTTCCAGAGCACGAGCTACGTGCCCAGATCCTGAAACGCTGCACAACTAATATCTCAAGTGACGGAAGGAGCCTTGCGGCTTCTCTCCAGCCTCACGTTAGTTCAGTCAACGAGGACAGATATCTGATTATGGATTTAAGCCTTCCAAATGGTGTTTGGAGCTTGAACTGTGTCTTCGATGGTGCGTGCTACTATGAGGCACCACAAATACACCTTCCCCCTCGCATCTTATTAAACAATACAACATCTTCTATGCAGGGCATGGAGGGCATGAAACAGCTGACTACCTTGTCTCCGAATTGCCCTCACTTTTAATGGCTGGACTGTTGCCCACCGTGACCAACTTGGAGGGCGTTTCAGATGTTCTCACCAGAGCGATTTTTGACGTGGATGAAGCAATAACACGGGACTTCCTCAAAATATTCCCTGAAGAAGTCGACGAGATCGCTACGATGTCAGATATAACAGTCAAAGCGCGGGTCAACGACCAGTCTTCCGGAGGACTAAATCATCAGAAAGCCCTACGTTGCTTGAGGGGATCTACAATCTTATTGACGCTCGTCGACCCTACAAAGAAACATCTTTGGGTGCTAAATCTCGGTGATGGCTTAGTGGGTAAGCTGAGGTGAAGGTCCAAGCGGAAATTACTGACATCGACTTTGGAGCAGTGCTCGGAAGTAGACGAGACGCGAATTCACAATGGAATGCATCCATCTTGAGCGATAATCATAATGGCAACAACCCTGCTGAGGCCGATCGCATCAAACAGCAACACCCTGGCGAACCAGAATGCATCTTTGACGATAGAGTGCTCGGTAATCTTGCTGTCACGAGAGGTAAGCCTATCGAATGCATTGGATCAGTTGATCTCACTGTGATGCGGTGTCAAGCTGTTGGCGACCACAGCTTCAAACTGCCTCGCATCTACGCCGAGAAAATATTTTTAAATGTAGAACCGGGGTTTCGTGTCCCTGCTGCGATCGAGTCTTTCATTCCACGAAATCTGAGCCCACCATACGTCTCGAATCTCGCAAGCGTTCGTTATGTCGACCTCCATGAGCAGTCAAGCTGCGACTGCTTTATCTTGATGTGTTCCGACGGGCTGGTTGACCTTTACATGGATGACCCAGATCACGTTGAATCCCTTACATCTCTCGTCCAGAAGTGGGTGGGAATAGTAGGTGACGTCGTGAAAGACGACATTCAGGAGGCAATGCTGCGCTTGTTAAGACATGCTCTGGGCGCAGAAGACATCGACAGTGTCTCATGTATGCTTAACGTAGACATGCCTGTCCCTTACATGGATGATACGACTGTTATCTTACAAGTGCTGTAGCATCCGATACGAAGGCGTGTGCATGTAGGGGTAACGGATGCGGATTGTACAGATGCCAAGTGCCAGAAATGCTGCGTTTGTAAATTACAGATAAAAGTCAGGGAAACGTCGGGTCCTGCATCATCGCAAGTCCACGATCTCCAGTGGGATGTCTTTCATTTGCACGTGCCCCTTGTCTGCGTCCTAAACAACCGATCAATAGCTGTGGACGAACCACTCCAGAAGCTACGCACTGTAGGTCAGCACTTCTGGGTGCGGGTGGAAGGCTTCCTTGACATTGCAGTCCAAAATTGTTTGCAAGCCTGGGGGGTCGGTGAGGCGGAAAATTCCAAAGCTAACCGTGAAAATAATTAAGACACGAGTGGTGTGAACAATGTGGTACGCACTTGGAAGTGAACTTTGGGGCGCAAACAACGGCAAAGGACTCCGGAACCATGCGCTGAAATCCAGAACGTGTATGTAGATCAACCGACGACACCAAGCCTTCGTAAAGGGCTAGTAAGCAAGAGGTTTTGTGCTAAATTTAAGGACCCACAGGATTGTGAAGGGTGCGTGTGAATCTAACGAAGATCGTTAGACGCAGATACACAGAACAACTGGAGGAAACATACCACTGGTGTCTGCATGTCTCTTTCATCTATGGTGAATATATCAACATTCGTGTTTGTCTGCGGTGTATCATACATACAGCGCATATACTGAGCTAGGCACTGTGTACCGTAATTATAGGGCCGGAATAGACACTGATACAAACAAAAAGTGAGCAGACTGGTCCTGGAGTCATCACGCTAATGGCCCAAAAGCAAATATGTTAGCGGCAACATCACGGGTGAAAATGAGGATGTAAGAGGCGAATGCAAATATCTTGTGTCTCAAGGATGGTTAATGTTGGCGATGCAGTCGAGGTCGGACTCCGAGAGACAGCAGGAGGAGGTCATGGACAAGCTGCACAAAGGTCGCGGGAAGTCACTCATCACGCATATTGTCATGGGACAACGCCAGCGGGCTGCGGGAGACTGCAGGCAGGACATTTTGTTGGGTATAGTAGTCAGGTTCTGCGGTTGCAGGCTTGCTTATTTTAGCATACTGCAAAACAAAACAAATTTGTTTTGAGCTTACAACACGGCGACAACTGCCAGCAACTCGGGCGGCCCTCTGAGCCGATCCGATTCAACTGAGCTGATACGCGATGGAAACGAAGGTGAAGGCGAACGACAGTATTACAAGAAAGTATAAGCGTAAATGCGACTTGTGGCTACTTAGTCACAGGCTTTACTGGCATTTGGGGGGATAGATATTGGAAACGATCGATCATGTGAATTGTGTAGGAGGAGCGTATGGAGCGGTGGGATGGGCACGGGTATTGAAGGGACTAATGGGTTGAGTTCGGGTTCAGGATGCAAAGAAAACGGCTCTCTGGGCGAGGACGCAAAGCCCTTCTCTTCAACATGCTCACCAACATGATCCTCATCCTCGCGTTTACACTCGTCCTCCCCAAACAGATCCGCGCTTCAAAGCTGTTTTTATCTCCTCCACAGCTCGCTTTATCCGGATCAACAAACTCTGCGCGTCCTCTTCATCCTTACTAAGTAAGGTCAGCGGGACCTTGAAAGGCGATCCAAATGGTTTCACTGAGGAAAAAAGCTTCGTAGATGATGTGCAGGTGGGAACTTTCATAGGACACGCGCACCTTCAAGTACTTGGTTAGTGACATGCTTATTTTCCCACATTCAGTGGACGACGCGCCGCACTCGCTGATAATGTGAATAACAGAGTACAGCAGTGAGGGAAACTTCCTGTGCGTGGTCCCATTACTCGCTCCCAAAGGGGCAGAGGGTGTAGAGGGTGCGACAGATAACCGTCTGAGCCCTGGTACCTGTGCGGGGGATGGATTAGGTGTAATTGGTGTTGGTATTGTTGGATAGCCTGTGTGGTGGTGGCTAGCTGAAGACGCGTCATGGAAAGCTCAAACAAGAACTCTGGTTCAATTCACATGTGTGTAGGTCATGTGATCGCGTAACAACTTGTGCAAGTGGCTCCATCGTCAACCACAAGAATGATGCATCTGAATATCATTAGAAAAGTATGAAGTGTATCTTGAGAACCATAATAAATAACTACAAGTGCGGCACCAAACTAGTCCATGACACCGCCTTGTACGCGTCAGGAGGAATATCGCGTAAAGTAGTGAACATGAGCACCAAGAGGATGACACGAGCTGTGATGTACAATATGGCAAATGCGACACAAATCAGAACATATACACCCCACACGAGTTGATGTAATGAATGGGGTAAGCGCCTTGCTGAATGACGCGAGTCTAAGTAGACACTCAAACAAAGCCAAGGTATGCAAGTTATAGCGACAGCACTTGAGCGCCATAGCACCTGTTCCTCGTATGTGGGGAAGGTCAAAAACCAAGCCATGCAATGGATACCGCCAAATATGATTGCCATAAGCAATGCAGCTCGCTGAACAACCGCCCTGTCCGAAGCTTGGAGGTCGACACTGCCATCAAATGTTGGAACTTGGAGCTTTCGAGATATGGGAATGTCAGTCCAGCCTATCAGTTCCATAATTGGGCTGGAGAGTCGAGGCAAGTACCAAAGCCGAGAGAATTCGTCTGGGTCACTGACACTAAGGCAGACATAATCAGCAGCGTTATAATTGTTCAAGTATATACATACTCAATGTGATCCTCTGGCCTTGACTCAGACTTCCAGTACACTGGGTACGGACATTGCACATTGAGAGGCTTGCCCCACCACACAGCATAAGTGAGGAAATTAAGAACCGCAAAAGCAAGTGTCCCCACTTCAAGCTGGGTGGTTTCGAGGTGATAGACGGCGCGGGTGATGAGCTGCATAACAAACCAGGCCACCTGAAGCATGACCAATCCTTTTGATATCGCATTGCCTTTGCTCTTGTCGTAGATCTGCTTTGCCGTTAGGGTAGGGGCGTCGATACACTTGTCACGTATCAATGTGAGAATGTAGTCAGGACGTAGTGTAAGGTAGGGTTTCCCGTCCACATAAAGCATGAAACCACCCATGAGCACAAAGAAGCTGTGCGTCTGAGTCCACATAGGATCTAAGGATGGACATAAGTCAACGTTTAGGTGAGCACAAACCAGGCTTACCTTCCGAGTCAGAGTTGGATTGCTCTGACTGAATCCGCCTGACGACCCACCTCGCGAGAGCACAAACGGAACGCCAAAGAGACACCGGCACAGATAATATGCCTTTAACAAGCAGGAGAAAGAGACGAATGAAAGGACTTCGGCAAATGAAGCGAATGAACCAATTTCCAGTTGCAGGTGCTTCAACAGAGTCCTCTTCTAATGGTGTGTATAGTGAGTTGTGAGATGCAGAATCTCCAAAAGCACAACTCACCTTCAGACTCTGGACGAATGCTGGGATATCCCAATTTCCCGAATTGTTTTGTAACTTGATGCGCGCTGAACCACTGGCGCATAGCCCATGTGACAATCAGCTCAGGAGCGATTAGCGCCATTGTCATAATTGTAAGCTGTCGCCATAGAATGTGATGCCAGCTGCTGTTCTTAGGACTTGGGATATTAGGGTGGATGGCACTGTATATGCATGCAAAAAGAGTGAGAACGGAGCTAGAAATGATGGTCCACAAGGTTCTGGTCGTGAATGATGGGGCTTTAACACTGTCGTTAGTGGTAGTATTTGTTGTATTTGTTGTAGGTGCAGCTTGGATCACTCCAACGAGGGAGAGGAAGATGCAGAAAAGTACCAGTAAGCGCATTATTGGACGTCACTTTGGATGTATCATATGCATATGTCCTATTCACTATTTGTATTAAACTGGCGGGCGCTATTTCCGATTAACACAATGTTGTACAATGAGGCTGCGATGAGGCCCTATAGGCGCTTGCTTGGTGCATTGATGTCTGCAGTATGGCGAGCTTGTGACAAACGAAATGTAATGATCATGCACAATTTGAAGTCACGCAAGAATTTCAAATACTTTACATAATTCTCTCAGCCTGCTGTAACTCGAGTCAATGATCATGCATCATGAGCTCAACTACAATGTCAAGCGAACTAAACTGCAGCCGGGCGAACAATTTTTTGATTGAAACCCTTTGCTATGTCACGGTTAACGTTCAAGTTGTATGGTTGGCGATGAGCATGTCGATTACTATTTGTTCGAACTTTGACGTCTTTGGTTCGCAGCATCAATCAGGCTGACTTGTAGTGACAGCGCGTGCCCCCTCTGAATTTTCATTGCAGGCTCAGGGCAACCATGTTGAGTTGTAGCGCTATATACAACTCCATCGGCAATGAAGTACATGCGGCACTGGCATGTGTCTACCGTCGCCAGCTTGCACTACTACAGCATACGCAGGAGATTCCAAAGGCTGGTACTTCATAATTCACTTGTCAGTACATGCTTCAACTTAGCAATCGACGATTTCATTATTCCAATTGCAGGGTTCAATATACCCCTATAATACCACCTGGTGAGCTTTTAATCTGCTTAGAGCACAACCAAACTTCATGTATCAGGAATCCAAAATGAATATTGTGACAACGCCCTTAGCCTACTGGGATAGAATATTCTCGTAGCTTTTCACTTGAGCGATCACAAATTGTATCCCACTTGAAACGGTTCGTATCATAACTCACCTGTCAACTTCCTAGATCAGATCAAATTGGGACCTCATGGGTCAACTAGATACTCGGTTGCTTTGAGACTACGGAGTATTTGCCACTGCGATACCGCACACCTGCAATGGTATTTACAAGCGATATCTCTCACACAGAGAAGGTAGGAGTGGCCATCACGAATAACCTTCAAAGTATTGTACTGATTGTAGTTTTTCAAGGGCTGGGCAAGTGGTTGTCACGGTAAAATTGTAGTTCATGCCAGAACAACTGGCACCCTTTGATACACCCGGGGTATTTTACTTAAATGAATCACAGCGTGTCAGTGTTTCCACTCATTGGCACCCTCAAGTCGATCGTCGCAGCATCGAAACTTGCTGGCGCCTCAAGGACGAGCCCCGGCTAAAATTTCACGGGTATGTACATAGTATGAGCGTCTGTTCTAATAGCATCCACGATGAGCACCCCTCGCTGCCCCACAGCAATTGACAGCGATGACACAGGCCTGACGCATGCTAAACGGCAGGATTCATTTTACCTTCTCTTCGGTCAATTACCGTCAGCAGAATTTTCAGTCGATCAGGACTCTTCTTTCTTAGCGGGCTTGAAGTGGTCACGAATCGGTGAGGCTAGCCGTGCGCGCTTCGTGCATATTATAATGCCTGACCATCGTCTATGCTTCCTTCGGCGCCTGGATTTCCCGGTCCCGGTCCTGGTGACTCATCAATCTATCACCTTTCACCACGTCAAAGACGGTTCGAGAGTTCTCCCCTGAATGGGTGGTGATGAAATTATTTAGTCGTGCGTTCCATTCTACCGCACGAGAAAATTCACATTTTCGTGTTCTAATGCCAGGATACCCTTGCCTCGTTGTCACCGGTTGACATAACGTATCCAACGAACCCAAAAGTAGCCTTCTCTGGTATTCTGGTGTATAATTTTGGAGCTCTGGCGTTGCAGGGGATATTTATGGGAACGAGTCAAGAGACTGAGTCAAAAAGACTGCAACACAGGCGTTGCTAGTCATCTAAAGAGGCGCTAGAGAAGTCACAGTTGTCATGGCATAAGTGCGCCATCCACGTATCAGCTCGAGTACTTCTTCAGGCTGTGGTGGATTCCTTGTTCACATTTGGTATGAAATTACCCATGGGGCGCAAAGAAACTGCATGTCTGATTCTGATTCCATGTACTCATAATACACGGATTCAGATGAGCCGCAAAAGAACAGACATATTGGAAAGGCACGAGTGAGACTGCAGCACAGGAATATGAATTGCTGAAGAAAGGAACAAAATTCAGATAACTCACCTTCAAGATCCTATGCGGGAACTTCGATACCTAGCTTTAAATATCGTCGACCACAAGAGTGTCACATCTGAATATTACGAGAAAAGTATGAAGTATAAGTATATCTCGATCACCATAATCAAAAACTACAAGTGTGGTACCATACTAGTCCATGACACCGCCTTGTATGCGTCAGGAGGAAGATTGTGTAAAGTGGTGAACATAAGTACCAAGAGGACGGCACGAGCTGGGACGTACAATGCGAAACATGCGAAATAAATCAGAAAATACACACCCCACACGACGTACTTTAATGGATTTGGAAAACGCTGAAGTACTGAATGGGTCACTTCCGAGTCGGAGTAGAGACTCCAACAAAGCCAGGGTGTGCAAGTTGTGGCGACGGCACTGATACGCCATAGCATCTGTTCCTGGTGTGTGGGAAAGGCGAAGAACCAAGCCATACAATGGACGCCACCGAATATGGTAGCCATAAGCATTGCAGCAAGCCGAAGAACTTTTCTGTCCGAATCTTCGAGAGTGATGCTGCCATCAAATGTTGGAACTTGGAGTTTTTGAGATGTAGGAATGCGAGGAAAGCCCATCAGTTCGAAAATTGAGCGGGCGATGGGAAGCGGAGCGAATTCGTCTGTGTCACTGAAACTAAGGCAAACATAATCAGCAACGGTATGATAGTTGAGGCACATACATACTCAATGTGATCCTCTGGTATTGACTCGGTCGACTTCCAGTACACTGGATGTGAACATCGCACATCGAGAGGCTTGTCCCACCACATAGCATAAGTTAGGAAACTGAGGACTGCAAAAGCGAGTGTCCCCACTTCGAGCTGAGTGGTTTCGAGGTGATATATGGCGCGAGTGATGAGCTGTAGAACAAAGTAGGCCACCTGAAGCATGACCAATCCTTTCGATATCGCATTGCCTTTGCTCCTGTCACGGATCTGTTTTGCGGTCAGGGTAGGAACGTCGATACACTTGTCTTGTATCAGTTTGAGGATGTAGTCAGGACGTAGTGTAAGGTAGGGTTTCCCGTCTACATAAAGCATGAAACCACCCATGAGCACAAAGAAGCTGTGCATCTGGGTCCAGGTATAATCTAAATATGTATGAATCATAGTTTATGTGAGCAAGAATCTGGCTTACCTTCCAAGTCAGACTCGGATGGCTCTGGCTCAATCCAGCTTGCGACACACCTCATGGGAGCACAAAGGAAACGCCACAGAAACACCGGCACAGATAATGGACCTTTGGCAAGCAGTATCAAGAGGCGAATGAAAGGCAGGCGGAGAAGGAAGCGAGTGAGGCAATTTCCAGTTGCAGGTACTTCAACAGAATCTATTTCCAAGGACGTGTATAGTGAGTTGTGAGATGCAGAATTTCCAAAAGTACAACTCACCTTCAGAGTCCGGACGAATGATCAAGTTGGGATATCCTGATCTTTCGAATTGTCTTGTAACTTGATGAGCGCTGAACCACTGACGCATAGCCCATGCGACAATCAGTTCAGGAGCAATTAGTGCCATTATCGTCATGCTAAGTTGTCGCCATAGGATATAACGGTGGCCGCTTTCCTTAGGACTCGGGATATTAGGGTGGATGGCACTGTATATGCATGCGAAAAGAGTGAGAACGGAGCTGAAGATGATTGTCCCTAGGGTTCTGGTCGTGAACGATGGGGCTTCAACATTGTCGCTAGTAGTGATATTTGTTACATTTATTGTAGGTGCGGCTTGGATCACTCCAACGAGGTAGAGGATGATGCAGAAAAATACTCGTAAGCGCATTATTGGATGGGCGTCTTGTATGCATCCTGTTCACTGTTTTATTTTATTAGCAAGCGTTATCTCAATATTTGCTAGCACGATGTACAGCGAAGACCAGTACGAACAGAGATGCTGTAGAGTTAATTACCTTATTTTGTACTATGTGTGCGCCCAGCTAGCAGATTGTTGACAGATTGGCAGGTCATAAACGTAAGGATTTCGTGGGCGATACATGTACAGGACGCCGCATGGCAGGTGTTGTGGCTATCCGGAAGACGCGTCATTGAGAGATTGATCTTATGGTGTTGCACAAGGAAAGAGAAACGAGAATAGGCGGGCGACGCGCAAGGATTCAGGAAGAGGCTAAGCAGACATGACGAGCTCCTGGCGTGCCCACGTATATGTACCCTGTATCAGCTCATAAAAATCAATTCAATCCAAAACGCTATATGTGCACTCCCCACCTTGACAGCACTTCCCAGTACTAGTGATCATCATGATAGACGCGGCGGCGTATGTGATGTATTTTGGTTTGTTTACACCAACGTCTGCATAAGCGTAGTGACCAAGCTCCCCCATTACGCGTTACGGCCCAATTGCAAATTAGCCACGCACTTTTCTTTCCAGAAACACAATTTCCTTGGGCAGGGCTGGGTAAAAATAGAGGCGTACACTGCACATCGGATCCGAGTCGCCACACCCAAAGGTAATCGTCTCCCCGTCGATTGGGAATGCTATTACTACTGTCGTTCGTTTCATCAGCCACAGAGTACAAAACAGGCCTATTTCGCTGCCGTTCATGGTGATGAGCAAATTCAAGCAGGACTTGGGCAAACCAGATCGAATCGGACAGCGTCATTGAAGGGGATGAGGAGAGCTGAATTTTCATGCTGAATTTTTATAGTTCTGTTTCCTGAACGACTTTTTGACCCAGATCAGAATGTGCACAACAATTACGCTCCTAGGCAGATCCAGGGCGGGATTCGGACAGAATTCATTTAGGCCTCCGGCAACGTTCGCCGCACCCAACCTGAGTTCCAAAGCCATTATCGGGGGTCCTTAGGTATCTCGCCAGCTCATTTAACAAATGTCGTACCAGCAAAGTCAGGCTTAAACGGAGTTCCTCGCTGGCCCCTCGCAATTGCATTTGCCAGCTCAAGCCTGAGTCAGCCCAATCTCAAATATGGCTTGCGCTTGGACAAGTCTAGGCAAGCTTACCCTCAAATTTTCTGTTGCCTACGCGAGCATGTTTAATCATTCTCAAAGTGTGGTCTTGGTAGAAAAGCGATGCCTTGTCTCATTCCTCCTTCCCACTGTCACGGTTGCTTCCAAGTTGTTTCCTTTCTGTGTCGAAAGCGCGACGTCTAAGTCATAACATCCCTTTTTGCAGTCGCTATATTCCATTTTATACTTCATCCCACATCCCTCACCTCGGTCTCTATCAAGGACATATCTATCTGACACGTTGCTAATCAATGCGCATTTCATCCATTAAATGGAGCAGTGTTTGCTTGTGGACAGCGTGGTCACGGAGAAATTTCTGCGAATAGCATGCATGTCTATCGAATGTTACGAGTCAGTCTTTTATTTCTTCGTTACGGACTCTTAGTCGTCGAAATATACTGGTTATATCACTCTCCCCGTAGAATGGCGCTTTGACCGAAGCGAATCATCACTCTTTCATTGGAGGTATGTGTACGAAGCCATTTGGAAGCAAAAGCTGCCGTCCTCGATTTAGTATATCAGCATGTTTCTTACAACGAGATCTCATACAAACAACGTCCTGTTTTGCATGGGGAAAGTGAGTGATTCCTTTACCACCAGTGTGGGCTATCCAGATCTCCATGAACCATAGCTGCATCTCGGTAAATTCATTGTCAACCTAGTTCTGCTACTTCCACGTGATGTTGTATGACATCGTGATGCAGACAGTATCTACCATGCGTCTCCTGCGTTATAATTCTCTTAGTAGCAGGTGCGCCTTTTCTCTCACGTCTTAGGGTCGCTAAATCATCGCTGTTAGAGTTGAACGACTGATACAGGTGTAAGTACTTGCAAAATCGATGCGCGTCGCTCATCACACTTAGCGTGATCTATGATAGCATTGAATATTTCCTCGTGTTGTCCGGCATGTTCTGCTTGTGACGAGCACCCCCTTCAGTGTCGAACGTATTGCACCTCACCCTTTATTGTATGACCGATATTGAGACTCAGGTACGTAGGATGAATTATGGATACGTCATAAAAACTCAGCTCTATTATATCCACTCGCTTCCATTATTAGTCGGTAGGGTAAGTTTCGCATCGTCTGGTGCCAAGGAGATCAGATCACTCAGAATGCATCATCAGGACATCAATAGGTCATACTATAACCTGGATCGTGAGCCAACGGATTCTCACTAATAGGTTCTAGAAGCTCCAGAAGCCCCATAAATACAGAGTTCAGGTCCACATCGCCTCGTAATCTCAACGACATGAAACTCGATATACGCGTACCTGTCGAGCGCCCGGTAGCAGTAGTCTACATGGACGAGTCTAGGCATCCGGGTACATGGCAAACGAGTTCAAAGCGAGCTGTGAAGTTTCACTGATCGAGTTCGAATTCATGTACGGAACAGGCCCAATGCCTGGAGGCTTAATTCATGTTGTTGATGGCTGGTCGCAATGATAGAGGAAATACAATTTCCGCATGTCTGGGATAATAGAGACAGACACTGCACATCGGGTCACATCCAAAGGTAACTGTCTACTCGCCGATTCGGAATGTTGCAACCTGCTCATCAGTCGTCCGCTTCATCAGCTGCAACATACAGTACCAAACAGCTTTATCGCTGCTATTCATCATGATGTTAGGGTCATACCAGACGATATGATTGCATCATGTAGTACCTAGCTCTATTGTCGTCGACCACAAGAATGTTACATCTAAAAAAGTATGAAGTGCATATCTCGAGCACCATAATCAAGAACTATAAGTGTGGCACCAAACTGGTCCACAGCATCGCCTTGTATGCGTTAGGGGGAAGATTGCGCAAAGTGGTGAACATAAGTACCAAGAGGATGGCACGAGTTGTGATGTACAACACGACAAATGTACAACAAATCAGACCATATACATCCCACATGACACGACGTGATGAATCGGAAAAGCGCCGTACTAAAGAGTCTAAGTAGAGACTCAAACAAATCCAGGGTGTGCAAGTGATAGCGATGGCACTTATTTGCCATAGCGGAGGGCTTCTTGGACTCGAACTCCCACGTTCGAGTTAGGGTGGCACCAAAATATGGTGCTCCCCGGCGCTGCACGTCCTCTATGACGTCCCGCTATCACTCATAAGTGAACTCCAAGCAACACCAATACCGACAGCCCCCCCAATGTATACCTCCCAGTACACTAGACAGTCCATACCACCTATAATTGAATGCTACAAGACACCCTTCATCAGTAAACCACTTTGCACTGTGCAGCGCTGTACAGCGCTGTACAGCGTGCAAGCGCTACAGCTTGGTCCCAATTAGCCAGTCCATCACAGCGACACCTTGCGCTGTGAATCTCTGTACAGACACCTACAGACCGCCCAGTAATTACGAAAATCTACTTGAATTGCAAATTTTTTCGCTGTCCATCTCTGTACAGACACCCACAGAGCACTCAGAGACCCGGAGCTGTACAGACATTTGCTCGCTGTACTGCTTACACACACTGGACAACACAAAAATTTTAAAACAAAAAAACAAAACCAATATATTGAATCACATGACCACGACAAACAGTAAATACAATGATACGTGCGCCAAACACGATAAATGCTTGATATAAACTGGGGAGCGGGAATACGAAGCTTTTAGTCAAGAAGAATCTGCAGGTGGTCGTGTCTGGCATCAACAACTCCTTCGAGATTCATAGCTGCAGCCCTGTACAAATGAAAATCAGTAAAAAAATTATCAGAGAGAAAAGATCCTCACCATCCCGCTGCAGCCCATTCTCGCAGTTGAGCTGACAGCCTAGGCCCATGATACGCATCCTCAAGGATATGTTTGAGCAATTCGAGCATCCGACAATAGACGGGGCCGTAGTCCTTGGTGGAAAAGTTTGGGTATGACTTCCCATGTCCGTTTTTCACAAGACCGTCGAAGACACAATTGAACTAGTTTCAAGACAGAAAATTAACACATGACATTGGCGAGGGAGACGAAATTACCGCCGCAGCAACCAAAGCCAAACATGAGAGTGGCAATTCCGTGCTAAAGGTCTCCGGCATCCTTCGTGCAATTCGATATGGTCCTGTGTAAAAGAATGTGATGACGGCTTCACGAAGGGCGGGATGAGCGAAGTTTCGTGTTCTCCCCTAGAAATCTTCCATCAGTAGAGTTGCGATCACCACAAGATCACTTACCTGATCGTCCACCCCAAAGCGTAAGAAGAATGCTTCCTTGATCAATTCAGCAGCAGTGTGCTCGACCCAAGCAGCACATTCCTGAATGGGGACAGAAAGCGGAGGAATAAGCGAATATGATACTGGTGCAATGCTTATGGCTGTTTTCTTCAAGTCAGATCGCCAAGTCGAAAGATCGTCGTACAGCTTTAATACAGACTGTCAACGAGATATTGGCACAAAGTCAGTTATGCACACACCAACCGAGTCATATTAAATTTGTGTTCTGGCCAAACCCCTGCATCAGAATATGACATATTAGTTCGAGAACGAATGAGAACGAACAAGTGCCTACCAGCTTCAAATTGTTTACCGTTCGTATCCCACACAACCAATACTGCAATGAGAACTTCAGTGATTGTTCCTGGAAGATTCTTCACCAAAGTTGGAAATGGGTTCTCCAGGGCGTGTTGCGCTCGACATTCTACTTTGGCGTCCTCCAAGAAACTTTTCCAGCGTGGTCCGTACCAAGATAATTGATCGGGTGTTGGCCCACCACGCGATGACCTAGACTTTTTGTTTTTCAATGGCTGAACATCACACTCGGACACTTGATTCAGCAGTTCGAGGGATTCAGGATCAGGAAGACGGGGCTTTCCATTTTTCTTATGATGGCGTTGTAGTACATCATCAGGCTTCGAGGTGATGGTCTGCTCGATGGTGAGTGTCAATTAAAATGGTCTCCCTGATCTCACCTCAATGTGTTGGGATGCTTGCCGCCGCGGTCCTGGTGAGATATCCGGAGGGTCCTTGAAAGAAAGGCAATGGTAAGCATGATACAATTGAACGATATGGCCATACCTGAGAGCTTTCGTTCCGCTGGATTAACAATATAAAATGAGAGTTACTCCCGGCTTGAGCAGAAAACTTACCGAGGTTTTATCAAGGCTCGTCTGGGCAACTACATCATCTTCATCGCGTGAGTACTGGAACTGAATTTCAGGTGTGAGAGGGCGAGCGACTGGAGATTGCGAAGGTGGTACATCCTCCACAAACCCTATAACATTGAATTAGTGAAGCGAAATCACACGACGAGAATGTGTACCTGGGTGTTCTTTCTGGCGTCGGCCAGCCTCCCCCCAACCAAACTGCTGTGAGCTCTTGACCGTATCATCATTTCCCCCCTCCTCCTCGTCATCCTCTCCGCTGTCCTCTTCATCAGCATCTTTATCATTGCTATCATTGCTGTCATCACTGCTACAGTCTTTAGAGTCACTGTCATCAGATTCAAACGACGTCAGACGATGCTGAGCCCTAACAGTGTCATCATGCTGACGTAGGGCTGGATCTAAATTCTCCTCCCGAAAGACGGACCTTGGCAAAACCACTGGATATTCAGAGACAGCGTTCTGGGTATGTCGCTCAGCAATTGCATCCCGAGTTCGCTTCTCAGCGATAGCGTCCCGAGCTCGTTGCTCGGCAATGGCGTCTCGAGCTCGTTGCTCGGCAATGGCGTCTCGAGCTCGTTGCTCGGCAATGGCATCTCGAGCTCGTTGCTCGGCAATGGCGTCCCGAGCGCGCTGCTCAGCGTCCTTCGCCCCAATGGTGACATGCGGGTTGTGCAATGCCTGAATATTGGGCTGGGCAGTACCGGAATGAGCTATTTCTGTTGGAGCAACAAATCCAAACCTTCCACCAGGTTGCTGGGATGTAAAGCTGGGCCCTGTGGCGATAATGTCCTTGGCTGGGGCATCTGGAGCATCCCTAACGAGTGAGCTGTAGGGTGGAGGAACTGCCTACGAAACAATCAATATGAGTAACAGAATTAATTAGACGCCTACCTTTGAATGATTCTTTCGACCTCTACGACGCGGTTCTGGGGCTTGAGGACTGACTGGAACATTGAGACCAAGGGACATTGTACCCTTATGTTCTTGAGTCCGAGGCTTGGATTGCAATACTGATCCAATCTTCTCCAGTTGTGCATTCCTACCTCCAGTTCCCGCGTTAGGGCGACCAGAACGCCGGGGAGCATTTTGTTCCGCTTCTGCTCCAGTCAGGCCAAGGGACACGAGGGGTACCATGCTGGGTACCTCAGCAATGTCTGCAGCCCGAGACTTCTTTGGCAAGCCGGCCTTTGAAGCATCGGATCCTTTGCGCTTGCCAGATCGTTTCTTCTTAGGACTGGCGATGGCACGAGGAGGCATGACTGTAATGAAGAACAGAGGAAGAAGTGACTCTGATAAATTATCCCAGACTTACGATGATTTTATACCATGGCTCATCCGTGTACTAATACTTAATAGCCGTATGGGTAGCGAGAGAAAAGTTTATCATTAATAAGAATGATAGTAATAAAGAAACATACCACCATGAGGATTGTTACTATCACGTCGTACTCCGAATCGATTCGCATGACTAGCGTGAAAAAACCTTCGTCGTTGGTAATGGTACTCATAAGAGAAATTGCCGATCACGTAAGCAAAAATGCTACACATAACATGAATCGTACCAGAACCTACTAGTAGTGATACTATATCAGATCCTGGCGTACTACTAGTATCTTGATTGTAAAAAGATAAACACTTGAAAAAAGCTTGAAAAAGAACGATATAGTCAGAACAACAATATCATAGGTACCGGTCAGTGAACTATAGTAAAAACGCAACATACTAATAGTACAAGCCAGCGAGATTCTAGAAATACTACTGCTAAAGTTAAACATGTCATTCATACTAAGTCAGTGAAGAAGAAAAATAGCTGAATATGTGTAATGAGTAGGCTTCACCTCCTGGTCATGCGTCACTGCCCGATGCTGAGTCAGACTCGGTATCACTATGATGAGACTTTTGCCGCTTGGGTGCTACTACAGAGGGAGGGTCTGAAGCAATCTGTTTGCCCTTAACATGTTTCGTGAGAATGGCAGCATCATTCCTGAGCATGTCCACAGCAGATACGAGCTCCTCGTCGTCGGGGAGTTTGTCGAGATGAGAGTTGAGTACAGCGAGAATGGTGTCGAAGGTAACGGGGTGGATCATGTTGTCCACCAGAACTCTACGCCACTCTACTGCGAGGGGGATCAGCTGCTTGAAGTACGGGTGAAATTGGTCTGTGAGACGCTTTTCCTCTCCTGGATAAGCGAAAAAGGTGATCTTGAAGGCTGCGCACGATCCCAGGTCAAGGCTGGTCCAACGATCCACCAACGAATTGGGCAAGCGCTCCCGCACCATACCGTTGGGACCACAAAACTTGATGCAAACCCAAGCGAACACGAAAAAAAGGGACTCCAGGTCATCCGCATAGCCTTGGATGACGTATGATACAGGTAGCGCCAGAGAATCAGAGGATGATTTCGGGGTTTTTGGTTTGTCGACTGAATTGTGTCCCCGAGTCTCTTTCTTCTTCGCCGTCTTCTTCCTCTTCGATTCCAGGTCCGCCTCCTGCTGCAGGACCGCATATTGATTGAGAAGTCCGCGTGACATGAAAGGGACTGTGCCCTGGCAAATCAATTAATGAACTGAATATTTAATGAATAAGGTGTACTTACTGTACCGCCAATAGGATATTTATGATCTGAGGCAATCCGAACGGCAAACTCCCAGTCAATAAGAAACCCTTCACTACCTTCAGGTTCGTCTAGGATCATCGTGTTGTTGAGACTACAGTCCCGATGCAAAATCTGATGTTCCTCCACCGCAGCTTGTTGAACTAACATCAAAGAGTATCAGTCCAAGACACCTGTACCCCAAAGTACTAAAAACTTACTCTTAACGATATCCCTTAGTGCCCGCACAAACTCCTTCAGTGTTCGGAACATGTGAAGGGGGCGACCACATGGCTTCAAGACAAGACGTACATGAGTACGACTAGTGCCCCTGGTACTCCGGCGTTCTTTCTGCCGATATTTTCAGGTAACATCGGGATCACCATCTGACTGTTCAATGACCCAATGATCCACCAGCTTTGGAACGCCAGGGAGGCCATCCATCAATTCCAGCATCTTGATCTCGTTCAAGACTACATTGTCGTCCTTGCCTACAACCCAATGGTCTTTTATTATGTAGTCTTCATCGTCTAAAGTTGCCAAATAGCAAACGGTTCCGCGACCAACAAGACCTCGGCTCGCAAAAATGATTCTTCTTATAGTGTAGACCTTCTGCCCTACACGGATTTTACCGCAAGGTTCAGGTGATTGAGCAGAGTAAGGGAATTGGGAAGGGAGAGGGGTGACAGAATAGATGCTCTCGGTCATCTCAGCCTGGGGCATTTGGGATGCGAGGCTGAGAAGGGGAGCACTACGGGTTGCAGTGGGGTGCACTGGGAGGGAGGGGGGTGGGAAATGCTCTTCGTCCATCGAGTAATGTGTAGCGGAACCGCTCGGACCTTCTTCCGTCGAGTCAGAGTCACTAGAGTCACTAGCGACTACTGATTCAAGGGCATCACTGGACGACACTCCATCAGGATCCTCGGGAAATGGAAGGGAGGAAGTGGATACGGCAACAGTACAGTCCGTCGTACTTGGTCGGGCAGGAGCGTTTCTAATGGGACGATAGCAGTTGATATCTTTGAATCGGGGTGGTGAAACAATCTTTGAGAATGAGACTGTCGGATCATAGCCGACGCACTCTAGACTCCCGAAATTGATGGCAGCGATTATATGTGAAAATATGTCCGGTTGTTGGTAAATATCGAAGCGAGGAGACACGGCGCCACCAGAGTGATCATACATTAGGACTCTAAGGTGGCGATATTCATCTGTGAATGATAATATGAGAGCAAAGCGCCTCCATGGCTGTTCACTCATCATAATATAGGCATGAGTATCTGCAGCCTTCCCGAGTCGCATCGCAGGCCGGTATCGACTGTGAGTGAGTTCGGCTGATACCCTGATGTTCCCCCACTTTGCCGATATATCGTCAGATAGAACGAGATCTGGCTTGCGCTTGATGTCGCTGCCAGGTAATGCCTTCTGTGCACTGGCTGCGCTCCATGTGCTGGTTGCAAAGCGCATTTCTACTAGTTTGGGCTGCGACGCTGCCAAGCAGCCAGCCAGAGCATTGAGAAACGCAGCAAAGATTTCTTCGTGAGTTGCTTTCTGCATATCATCACCCTCTGACTCGCCCTCTGACTCGCCCTCTGACTCGCCCTCTGACTCGCCCTCTGAGTCTGCGCCCGAACGACTACTACTGGCATTTTTAGGAGGGTCAACTGGAAGGGCCCAGTTCCAAGCCTTCGCTTCAGTATCGTACAGTGGCACAAGAGTATCGGGCGATGTCCCGCTGAATTTCTCGTTGATGCGTTGGTTGCGATAAAGGATTTTTCCGAATGGGATTTTAAGGCTGAATACATCGGGAAGAGGAACCGTGAAAGACTGAAATATTTTGGAGAGCAGGTGTCCCAGCGGTTGCGAGGCCTTTGGTGAACCCTCGTGAGTGACCAGACGATTGAGCTCGTCAGAGGTGATCTTGTTCATAGTATGGACGTCGGTGACATCGGGGATAGACAACAACGATGACAATTTGATTCCGTTGTCAACGGTCCTGAAAAAGAACGCCATTTTTTCGTACACGGACAGTAATGGCACAAAGAACGAGAGCTTATCGCCACATAATAGCGCCCATCAAAACTCAGTACTCAGTTCGGTGATCTAAGAATAAAACAGACTAGAATAACTTCTGGCATAGGCTAGATAAGACCACTCAACCATCACGAACGTCGCACGGAAGCTACACCAAAAGCTACATGGAAAGGGGAAAATATACATTCTTATCCCAATACCTGTTGAGCCAGAACTGAGAAGCATGTTCCATGCTATTATATGGGGTGAGACGGTTGTCCGCACTTGCACCGAAGCGAGGGACAAGGTTAACAGGTGCTCTGAGCTGTGTCACAGGTATGACATCGCCCACCCAAGTGCCATTCGAACGCTTCGCTCATTTGAGCAAGTGGAGCTGCGTACTTGGCTCACGATCATCAGCACCGGAGCTTTGAGGAACAATGTCAAAGCGATGCACGTAAACCAGAAAGTGGTCCTTCCATGACCAATTCGTGCCACTTTTTCCAACAGCACGCATGATAAGCCTGATTTGGCCAATCGTATGACCTGCGACTTGACAATAAGTAGAGATTCAGCGTGACATAAGATCATAACGTACCACGAAGACCATCTTCTGGCCATAAGTACCTCGCCTCATTGTTAATGATGACTGTGTCATACCGGCCACATGTCCAGGGATCAGAAGGAGGTGCACAATTGAGGGTCTGCGCAGGCCGTATGATGCTAGCATCGTGGAAATCGGTGTCCTGCACCCGAAGTTTAAACCAGACTTGAAGTTTGTCGAAGGGAAGTGAAGCAGTAGGTCCAGCTCTTCTAGCCCCCCCAATAGTATGTATGTGATCCCTCCCATGAGTAGCCTCACGACGAAGAAAGTCGGCAATAGCTGGTCGTAAGTCAGGAAGACCAAACTTGATGGCAGCATCGTCAACAGATATGTTTCTGATAGAAGGATCGTAGGTGAGGTGAAACGCTGTGCGTTCGACAACGAACGAGCGCACTGGCACAGGGACTGTCCCCACTTCCCTGTGCTGGAGGACCTTGGCAATTCCGAAGTAATTTGTGATTGGACGCGAATGTCCAGGGTGTTTCATTGTCGTAAGAAGGTCTGCTGGGATATCGCGATCGTTGTCCACGTCGAAATCAACATTCTCATCCTTCTCATCGTCATCTGGATCCTGCTGCCCTGAGTCTGGGACATTGTCGAGCAGACTCATAGCGAGGTCAAAGCGGCGGCATTTATCAGCACGGTCAAGATGGCGACATATCTGGGGATCGTAATTATTATTATTGCTCGAGCGAGCAGGACTTTTGATTTCCGTTATGTGGGCATGCTCCGTGGTATCGGCTGTCCATTGCAGAGGAACTCCAGTGTTCCTTATGCTTGGAACTATGGACTGCATAAGCTCAAGCTTCGGTATGTACCAGTTCTCGATAACGCCGCCACGCTGACCACGACGAAATCCACCCTCTATAATAGCATCTTTGTTAGCGTGAAAATGATCAAGTGCAGTGGAAATTCGGGCGAGTAGGATGTCGTCAATTACGGGTGACTGTACGAGATATCGAAAGTCCATCAGAGCTCGTACAGCAGTCATCACTGCGCTAGGAATTGCATCCGCACTGACTGCAACGATCGAGCGTTGAATGTCGCGTTGAGTACGTCCTGTAACCTGTTTGAGTTTTGAAATCCCGCCATGAAAATGACGGAACCCAGTGACAGCCTGCAACACAGAGAACCGAAAGTCAATCTCTGTATCACCTACTGCGCAAATAAGCCACTTTGCGTCGTGGTCGTAGAACTCGCGATGAATGAGGTGAAGAAATTCGGGAGTGAGAAAATGTGATGGATCACTGAGGACCCAATCCATCCAGAATGGTGCGTTCACGCCATTCAAACGAAACTTCTGTGCTTCGCGAAAAAATATCTCGATGTCGTTGGGATCAGCTTTACTCCGCGCAATGTCCAGCTGGGAGAGTGTAGTTGCTCGTGTGCGAGGCTCATGACGGAAAGGGTCTCCAAACTGTTTGTACATGGCCGTAGTGACTGGGGAGGTTTTCCCGCCAACAGCAGCCAGCATCATGGCCTCCGGGGTATCGACAATGTAGCTCGCAAGTGGTGTAAAACAGTAGCGACTGTGTCCAACAGGGTCCGATAGCATGACTCCTTCGCGAGCAGCCAGCTTGAGTGGACGGAGAACAATATCTAAGCATTCGTGAATGAGGCGATCCTCAAGTACGCCTCGCATGCGTTTTTTCTTGTAGATGAATTTTGGGACGGGAAGTAGAGCGGTAAGCACAAAGGCATTCGAAGACGACTTGAGTCGCGTGGACATGCCTATGTTGGCAAGACTAATCAGAAGGGGGTGTGCAACTCTGTCACCCGTCATGGTTGATATATTCGTCTTGTCAGACGATAAGATGGTCCCCAGGAGTGTTGCACCTCTTGGTAGGGCCGACTGTCCGAAAATCGATAAGTACGACGACTCGCACAGATGAAACTATACGTACCTGCATATTCCACGCATCATCACTAGTCATCCACTCTGAATATACACGGCACAGCCGCTGCGCAGTGCTATACACCCTGCGAGGCGTAAAGTCTAGATGATCGTGAAAGGCAGGGTGGTTGAGAAGGCCTGAAATACAATCTAAGGGATCATGCCAATACAAGACAACGGGCGATTTCGTGGGATGTGCTGTAGGTACTACTTGAGACATCCAGCGCGGGCCACTAGGCAACATTTCCGCTCTGCCACGCAGCTCCTTGGCCGAATGGAACGACAACGGAAGGGTCTTTATCTAAAGAAGACACCTTCAAAAATTGTATGTTATCAAAAAGAATTTATTACTCACCATGTCGAGCGAAAGAAAACTGTCTATCTTCCCCATGCTTAATCCAGAGCGAAGTAGCCATGACCCAACTTCCCAGTCTTTCTGGCCACTGAATGGATAATACGGGTTCGTTGCACGGTGCCTGCTGTTCTCGTCTGAATTGAATACGTCGAGGAACGTGTAGCCCCTGCCATATGATCGAGCGCAGTCAGGATACGAGTCGATGACTTCTGAGTTACGAGTTGGTGTCCTCTCTTCGTAAGCCTGGCGCTCACTACTACTCCCTCCAAACATCTCATCGCAATCTCCAAAACCACCAGTCTCGATGTCGGGAATAGTATGTGGTCCGTCGTCCATAGTATTAGTACTCACAGGTTCATCGTCCATATCAGACTCAGAGCGCGAGCATATCAAATCCTGCAGCCATGTACTGCAGCCAGAGCGAGGTTGGCTCATGTGCCGAGCAACGGCTACATCATCCTTGAAACCACCTTTCCCGCACGAAGGACACTGGAATGTCATATGTAGTACAATTGACGCGTGAGATTCCGAGAAAGCTGTAAGTAATCCCTTGCGGAATCAATAAGCCATATTCTCAAAACACCCATGTCCAACGTACCAATCCACCTAAATATTTCTAGTGACGTACCATCATTGTCAAATATGCGCCCGCAAAACTCCAATAAGTGGCAAGCGAGCCGAACTTCTAGTGAGCCTCCCAGTAGTGGAATCGCTGACTTGTACGACGTGGTCAATGCTATTGGGTCAATGGTAAGTGACTGATATCTGACTCTTACTAGGCACTGCTCGTTAACGTGTGTACAGACCATCAATGACGTTGACGACTGTGAAGCCAACCTGATCATGGATCTCGCAAGGGCCCGACGCGATATAGTTAATGCGGAGAAAAAACTTGCTGATTGCATCGTGCGAGAGCAAGAGGTCATGACCAGTCTTTCAAGATACAAGTCTGTCATTTCCAAGCGGAAGCTTGACAAGGCCGATGTAGGACTAGGCCATATGCGTGTCACATTCAAAAAACACGGTCTTTCACATCAGCCAGCACACGGTTCTCTTGGTAAGTACTCTTATTATGTATACACTACCAACTAACCTCGTCATAGACTCATTCGCATCCTGCCGTCAGCTAACGATCCAGTTGGACTGATGCCTCGTCCCTTCTTTCAAATTGTGTCAAATAGTTTGTATTTAGCAGTACTGGTACTAGGCTAGTAGTATAGTAAATATGGACATAAAATTTTGTTCCATCTCGACGCTTGAATTGTGTGACTTCTAGTACGAAATGTTTGATCCCGCGGAACCAATTCATGTAGGTGAGGAGAAGACAACGGCGAGCGTAGTATACAGACTGTTATTGTAATTGATTGTAAAACAGCTGCAACATCCTAAGGCGACCAGTCCGCTTGTTAAATTTTAATTTTACTAAGTACTTTCAGGTACTACTACTACTAGCGCTCGAGGTAGCTATTTTATTGACAAACACTGTGAGGCTGTACATCCTGTGAGCTCTGTCTCTCTGTGGGTTACTGTTGAAAAAAATTCAATGCCCGGGAGAAATGTGCTGTGAGTGCTGTCCTGCTGTGGGTTACTGTAGGTTACTGTCGAAAAAATTTGATGCCCCGGAGAAATGTGCTGTGAGCGCTGTCCCTCTGTGGGTTACTGTGGGAAACTGTCAAAAATGTCGATGTCTGTGGGGAAATTTGTAGTTTACAGATGTTTGTAAAGCGGCCACACCCAGTTGACTGCTCAACACACACTCACCTAAGATGCCCAGCTGGACACGTCTCCGACGGCCCCAGGCCTGACATACAAAATTCACGCTCCAGAAGTGCTCGAACAACCCCGGATGTGCCGACAGCACCAACCTCACAGTCCTCACTAGCCAGCCCCCAACTGGGACCCACGTGGCACGCCACTCGCTTGACCTCAACAAAGGGTGAAAGAATACTTCGCTTCTAAGCCACCCGCCACTCAGATAAGACAAACCATACGTCACTGCGTTATTTTCACCACTCACAACGAACAAAGGAAAACAATACGACTCCCCTGTATATAAACCCCTACCAAACCAACCACTATACATCAAGCCATACACACCTCGCACTGCAGTACCACGACTGCTCCCCTAAACATCATGACCAAAGCTGCAACTGCCTCCGCACAACATATGATGACAGACTCTCGGGACAACAAATGTGCCAGACAAAACCCGCATCTCTCTGACATGTCCGAATCGGACGAGGAAGGCCTGAGCTCCACCAAGAAACCCACCCTTGCAGTGAACCCTGCCCCCCAACCCACCCCCCAGCCCATTGCCCAACCAACTGCCCAACCTCCCCCCCAAGTCAACCCATGGCAATACTTACAGACGGGGCCGCAAATGCGAATGGCAACATAGGTTAGCTCACCTTACATGTGCAACAACTAGATCTAACATCTCTACCGTCAGTCAACGGTGTGCTAACCCTCAACAACGGCCTCAGGCTGACCGCCCCTCCGACAGGCGGCTTCCTGACTCCCCAGTTAGGGCAATTGGTCTGGCGCAACGTTGCCCTCGCGCTTCGAGACAAGTGGCCCCAGAAGGAAGGACCCAAGGCCTGGGCACGTACCTTTAGAGCCCAATATGAGGAGAATGCGCAGATGACCAACATCAAAATGCGCAACCTCATCGCTCTTATCATTGGAGAAGCAGCGGCATCTTCCCTTCTAATCAGTACCCCATCCGCAGAGGGAGAATTGTTTGAACGCCTCCAGCCCCCTTACAACTTCCTCATCTCGGGCGTCCCCCAAAGCGCTATCACAAGGCTGACAGGGCTTGGTGTCTGCTCCTCTCCAGACATCACCTGTTTCTTTATACCCTACAACCAGCCCCTGCCAAAATACATCTGCACACTCGAGTGCTTCACCTTCCCCGACTGCGAAGGAAGTAACTCTGGCATCGCGGCCCTAGTGAAACAAACAATCCGCATGCACCCCAATATATCCCACTTCATTCACCAACACATACCCTCGCCAGACGCCGAAGCAGCCATTAAAGCCATCGACTCAATCCGAGTCACAAGTCTCAGCATTGCGGTCTCGCGCAACTTATCTCACACTGTCTGGAACATTTACGTGGACTCCCCTCCCAACCTATCGCTCAAAGACTACTTTGAGTGGTCAAACCTCATCCGAGACCTCCAGTTCACTTCAGAAGATTATGGGACTGGCCTAGTCTGTTCTGAGGACCGCCAGTTCCTATGCACAGGCTGCAAGTCATATGATCACCCTACGGGCCTCTGCCCGTTCCCGAAGATTTTGGGGTGGTTCAGCCCCGCAACGAGCACTAATGATGACACGTCTAACGTCTCCTTAGATAACAGAGCGCACACCTCTCAAAATTCCAGAGGTAACCCTAACCGGGGAGGAAGAGGACTAGTAGGCAGAGGCCGAGGCCGCGGAAAGAGAGGTCGAGGCCAGTACTAAAGCCCCAGTGCCATAGCCCTAATGTATATACAATAAAGTACCAATGTACAACAAACTAAGCCAGATTGATGAATCATGCATGTGACTATCTCTGGACTGAGGACCATGAGGACTTGATGACTGAAGCAAACATCAAGGTCACCACACAATGCAAGGGTCCATAGGAGCCCAAATTTACTACGACTTCGATAGGAAAGCTCCGGACCTCTACACACTCAACGGCAACCTTTTTAGGTCTGGGATGTGCCGTGCCGAGAGGCTGAAGTCATGGACGGCAACAATTATCGCCCTCAACGAAATTGTAAGCCCCCTACGACATAATCCCCCCCTCACAGACGTGGACAGTCTGTGCTAATCGGAAGCATGGTTGAGGCTCCGGTTAGTAAATTCAACCACTAGCACTACAACACTAACCCCCCCCACAACCACGGTAAATGAAAACGGTAACGGCTTATGGTCCCATGATTCCAGAGGGGACCGTGCTTCATCCGTCAGCCGTGTCCCTGATGAAGGAAATATGGGAATTGGTGATGGATACAGGGCGGCTTACAACGACAATGTAGATGGCCCCCAGCCACAAGAGCATAACACTCCTTCGACTAGCACACAATGTGCCGAGGCAAATGCCAGTACGCATCATGCGAACAACTCTGACACTCAGGGCCCCTCCATAAGGAGACACACCCCACAGGGCCGCCAGCCAAATCCGAGATGGAATCATGCACAAACGAGCCCCCAAAATAACACCAACAGAACGTCCAGAAAGACGACGAAAGCATCCATTAAAATAGCTTCTCTAAACATAAGAGGACGATGGCACGAAGGAGTAGATAAATGGACGCACATCAATCAAATAATGAAAGAAAAGAAGATAGGAATATTAGCAGTTCAAGAAACTCACCTCTCCAAAGTCGACGAAACGAGCCTTAATGAAACGTTCAACAAGAGGTTAAAAATCATATCTTCAATTGATCCTGAACATGGGAATGCAAAAGGCGTAGCGATAGTACTGAATAAAGACTTGACGAGCAGCCAAGAAGCTACACACAAGGAAATCATCCCTGGAAGAGCCATCTTAGTTCAGCTACCATGGACCAAAGGCGAGAAAATTACCATCCTAGCAGTGTACGCCCCAAATGAACCATCAAAAAACGGAGCCTTCTGGGAAGAAATCCAAACCAATCTAACCGGCTTCCCTACCCCAGACAGTTTTGCTCGGAGACTTCAACATTGTAGAAGATGCACTCGATAGGCTGCCGCCAAAACAGGACAACGAACATGCTACAGTAGCCCTCATGCACCTAAAACTGAGCTTAGACCTCAGAGACAGATGGAGAGCAGAAAACCCAGACTTACTCGCATATACCTTTGCACAATCAAGTGCCCAAGGAGGCTGACAATCCAGGATAGACAGAATCTATATAAGTGAAAACATTCTGCCATTCAGTAAAGATTGGACTATAGAACCAGCCGGAATCGCAACTGGACCATCAACTTACCTCAGCAAGAATATCAGACTGTCAGGATGCCCTTCGTGGGTAGAGGTAGATGGACTCTGCCCCTCTTCATCCTGAAGGACAAAGACGTCAAAGACCGAATCATAGACATGGGATGCACCATGCAACTCGACATCGAGAACTTGCTCTCTAACAGATCAACCACCCATAACCCGCAAACCATCTTCAAAAACTTCAAAGACACAGCGATAAAATTCTGCAGAGACAAAGCCAGAACTTCGATCCCTAAGATTCAAAACCGCATAAAAAGCCTTAAATCTGACCTTAAAGCATGCTTAAACGACCAGAGCATCCCAGAAGAAGAACACTGTCTCGTCGGATTAGAATTACAAGAACAAATAAATGGCCTAGAAAAGAAACGACATGAGAACCGACGCGATAACCTCGCAGTGAAAATGAGAATTGAGTGCGAATCTCCCACCAGCAAGATATGGTCCAAAGTCGGGAAAGAACAGAAACCCCGAGACACCATTGTCGAGCTTAAAACATTAAACTCCACACCAGACAACCCAACATATGAAACAAGATCTGACCGAATGGCGAAGATTGCCAGGGACTACCACGATAATCTTCAGAGAGATAATCTCGCGTCCAGACAGGATGTAGCAAATGCCACAGAAGAGGTCCTCGACAAAATTAATAGACACCTGTCGGATGAAGATAAGCTCATAATGCAGGCTACACTAACAGAAGAAAACATTGACGAGGTACTTAAGCTGCTACCTAACAGCAAAGCAATGGGAATCGATGGCCTACCATACGAGTTCTGGAAATGGCTGAAAGAAGTGTCCGATCCGACAAATCAGAGTGACGACACGGAATCTGAGAACTTCAACCTCACCAAATGTATCACACAGGTATACAACGACATAGAAACATTCGGAGTCGCAGAGGAGACCCATTTCTCCGAAGGCTGGATGTGCCCACTGTACAAGAAAAAAGACAAACGAGACATAGCGAACTACCGCCCCATCACCCTGCTCAACAGTGATTATAAGATCTTCACAAAGGCATTAGCCCTGAAGCTAGCCCGTACCGCACCTTCGGTAATCCACGAGAACCAAGCTGGTTTTGTGCCCGGGAGAAGCATCACTGACCAGATAAGATTAACACAAATGATAATCAACTACGCGGAGGCGGAAGAAAAAGAGGGCACCATCGTTGCGTTAGATCAAGAAAAGGCATACGACAAGATAGTGCACTCATACCTATGGAGAGTACTCGAAAAGTTCAACTTCCCATCCCAATTCATTGACACGGTAAAATCCCTGTATGAAAACGCTGAAACAGCGGTTATGATCAATGGGGAATTAAGCAGTAAATTCAAAATAACCCGAGGCGTAAGACAAGGGGACCCACTATCATGCCTTCTTTTCGATCTGGCGATCGAACCACTAGCAGAGATGCTTCGCCAATCAGACCTCCAAGGATTCAAAGCACCCGGAATGACCTACAGGATAGTAGTCACAATGTTTGCCGACGATACAACAGTCTACTTGACAAACAAGGACAACTTCGAAACCCTAAATAATATCCTAACCAGATGGTGCAATGCATCAGGAGCGAAATTTAACAAATCTAAAACAGAAATCATACCAATCGGTACAAAGGAATACCGCCAGAACCTCCTCGAAACTAGGAAACTGAACGAACACAGCATCCCAATACCAGAAGATGTAAACATAACAAAAGACGGGACAGCAACCAGAATCTTGGGTGCATGGGTCGGGAACAGCACAAACGAACACGATATCTGGTCCCCAACACTGGAGAAAATAGATGCGAGCCTGAAACGATGGGAGAAATGTCACCCGACAGTAGAAGGCCGAAAAATCATAATACAACGCACCATTGGGGGCATGACCCAATACTTGACAGTGGCGCAAGGCATGCCGAAGGAAATTGAAAAAACACTCACTAACCGAGCGAGGAACTTCATCTGGGACAACGAAGGTAAATCCCAAGTCAGCCTTGACATCCTATGCGCACCAATAGATGAAGGAGGAAAGAATATGATGCACCTAACTCACAGGAACGATGCTATCGAACTGATGTGGCTCAAAGGCCTTCTGAAACCAGAACAAGAAAGACCCCCTTGGGCTTTCTTCGCGAACACCCTAATCGCAAAATACATTAAACCGGCTCCAACAGTCCACCCAACAGTAAAGATCAACTTATTCCTACAATCTTGGAAGCCACTGACAAGGAAGCTACCCCCCTCACTTCAACGAATCATCAAAGCAGCTAAGACCTACCACGTAAAGTGGGACGCGTGCATAATCCCACCCCAGGTAGCACGACAACTACCTATATGGTTCCATATTGGCGCAAACCAAAACCTGAATAAACTGAATAACTATTATTACGCCAACTGCCTGAGAGATAAACATAATGTACGTACAGTTGGCGACATCGAAGTGATAACAAGCCCAATGCCACAAGGGCACCTGAACAAAAAAGAGTGTGAATGCGATAGATGTAATAAGGAACGAACGCAATACAATTGCAACAAACCATACAGATGCTGAAAAACCGCCATAGACATCTTGCACTGCATCCTCCCTAAGTGGAACCCATCAACCGAGGTACGAAAATTAGTGCCAGACCTCCTACCCGAACAGCATCTAGCAAACGCTAAGGCCATAAAAGAAAATGGTGACATACTATTTGACCCCGCACTCCCGAAATTGACATCAATAGAGGACGGCTTCAGAGCCTTCTCCAACACAACACGATGCGAGGAACCAGCACACCAAGCGAATCTACAACGAGACAATGAAATTAACGAGAGCACCATAATAGCCATAGGGGGCACCCACAAAGTATCCAACGACGGGGATATAGTGGCTATCGGCACACTTTGGTATGGGAAAGACGACGCCCGAAACATGACTTTCAAAACACCTGATAACTTAGCTTCGCCTAAGGCAGGAGAATGGGCCGCAATCCTCGAAGCTGCCAAATCAACTCCTAAACATCGCAAACTGGAGTTATTGATCAACACACCTAAATTGATTAAAGACATGACAATCAACCTACCGAGACTAGAAAAGTCAGGATGGATACAAACACCAAACTCCCAACTAATCAAAGCGGTAATTGCGGAGCTTCGTGAGAGATGTGCCGCAACGTCCATCAAAGCCTGGGGTAAAAACCTGAATAAACAAGACGAGGCAAACATCAAAAGTCTCATCCGACAAAACGAGAATGGAATAAGAACATGCAACATACCATTGTCAATAGATCCCCATTTCGAAACCTCCGGCATCATTATGTCACAAGGCTCGCAATGACTGTTTTACAAAGGTATACGCAAGGCTAACTCGCAACACCGCAAACGCCGACAGACAAGGATAGCACTGGCAATAACCCACCATGCAACAAGAGAAATCAGCCTAGGCACACCCACAGAAGCGCAAATCTGGAGATCAATAAGAGATAAAGACTTACCGAAAAGCATCCGAGGATTCCTCTGGAAGAACCTTCACGGGGCATACCGCTTGGGAGAGTTCTGGCAGAACATCCCAAACTTCGAACAGAGAGGTACATGCAACCTTTGCAGAGAAGTTGAATCCATGGAACATATCCTTACCGAATGCGAGAACTCACCAGCAAGGAAAATTATATGGAAACTAGCAGAGAAACTCTGGAAAAAACGGGAAAAAGACTGGCCGGACGTCAGATACGGTACAATCCTAGGAAGTAACCTAGCGCACTTCACTGACAGTAAAGGAAAACGGCTTGAGGGAAAGTCTAGACTGTTCACTATATTGATAACTGAATCAGCCCACATGATCTGGAAGCTAAGATGCGAACGCGTCATTAAGTTCGATAATGCAGAAGAAAAATTCCACTCAGATAAGGAAATACATAATCGCTGGATAACGACAATTAACAAACGTTTAAAATTCGATAAACTACTTACAAACACCTCAAAATATGGGAAGTCAGCATTGAGAGAAAATTTAGTCCTCCGAACGTGGAGCGGAGTCCTCAAGGACGAAGACAATCTACCGGATAATTGGATCCGGAAAGAAGGGGTTTTAGTGGGTATCGTGAATCGGCTTCCTCCGGGTCGCAGCAGGTAGTTTCGACCTCCGCGAATCACGGAGTCCCACACTGTCAGGCCTGGCGTGCATAAAGCATTTCCCCTTGGTATTATATTTTCATCGTCTTATGGGTGCAATCCCCGTACAAATAACGTGTTATTTGGGGCTGACTTGGTCTGCTGCCACTTAACAACATCGTTCCACCAAAAAAAAAAAAAAAAAACTTATTTGCCATAGCACCTGTTCCTGGTGTGTGGGGAAGGCGAAAAACCAAGCCATACAATGAATGCCGCCAAATATGGTTGCCATAAGCACGGCAGCAAGCCGAAGAACCTTTTTGTTCGAATCTTCAATAGTGGTGCTGCCATCAAATGTTGGAACTCGAAGCTTTCGAGACGTTGGGATGTCAACCCAGCCTATCAGTTCTAGAATGGGGCGGAAGAATTGAGGCAAGTACCGAAGGCGAGCAAATTCATCTCGGTAACTGAAACTAAGGCAAACATAATCAGCAGCGGTAGAACTGTTGAGGCGCATACATACTCGATGTGATCCTCTGGCCTTGACACAGTTGACTTCCAGTACACTGGATGTGGACATCGCACATTGAGAGGCTTGTCCCACCACATAGCATAAGTTAGGAAACTGAGGACCGCAAAAGCGAGTGTCCCCACTTCGAGCTGAGTGGTTTCGAGGTGACAGACGACGCGGGTGATGAGCTGCATAACAAACCAGGCCACCTGAAGCATGACCAATGCTTTTGATATCGCATTGCCTTTGCTCTTGTCATGGATCTGGTTTGCTGTTATGGTAGGGACGTCGATACACTCGTCACGTATCAGTTTGAGAATGTATTCAGGACGTAGTGTAAGGTAGGGTTCTCCGTCCACATAAAGCATGAAACCACCCATCAGCGCAAAGAAGCTATGCGTCTGGGTCCATGTATAGTCTAAGGATACGCATGAGTCAACGTTTAGTGACCAGGTGAGCATGAATGGGGCTTACCTTCCGAGTCGGACTCGAATTGCTTTAATTCAATCCAGCTTGTGACCCACCTCAAGGGAGCACAAATGAAATGCCAGAGAGACAACAGCACAGATAATATAGCGTTAACACACAGGATCAAGAGGCGAACGAAAGGCAAGCGGAGAAGTAAGCGAGTGAAGCGATTTTCAGTTGCAGGTGCTTCAACAAAATTCATTTCTGAGGACATGTATAGTGAGTTGTGAAATGCAGAGTTTCCAAAAGCACAACTCACCTTCAGACTCCGGACCAACATTGGGATACCCTGATTCTTTGAACTGTCTTGTAACTTGATGAGCGCTAAACGACTGGCGCATAGCCCATGTAACAATCATTTCAGGAGCTATGAGTGCCATTATCATCATGCCAAGTTGTCGCCGTATGATAAGAAAGGAACCACTGTCCTTCGGACTCGGGATATTAGGGTGGATGGCACTGTATATACATGCAAAAAGAGTGAGAACAGAGCTGGAGATGATGGTCCACAAGGTTCTGGTCGTGAATGATGGGACTTTAACACTGTCGCTGGTGGTAGTATTTGTTGTGTTTGTTGTAGGTGCAGCTTGGATCCCTCCAATGATGTAGAGGAAGATGCAGAAAAATACTAGTAAGCGCATTGTGGAATGGGTACATCGTATGCATCCTGTTCACTATTTGTATCTTACTAGTGGGTGTCGTCTCAAAGCAGCGCCGCAGTGTACAATGAGGCCCTGTATAGTACTTGCAGCATGACAGTGACAGCTGGGCCTGAGTCGGTGTCCTGAAACCTGATGCTCAGTGAAAATTGGTACAGATAGGCTCAGAGGTGCTGTAGTATGAATTACCTTATTTGAGGTGTGTTATATGTACGCCCTGAAATGCTTGACAGAATGGCAGGCCATGAACATAAGAATTTCATGGGCGATACAGGACGACAGGTGTTGTGGCTATCCGGAATACGCATTGAGAGATTGATCACCAGTAAGCTTGTGGTGTTGTACAAGTAAAAAAAAACGAAGATAGGCGGACGATGCGTAAGGAAGATGCTAAGCCGACATGACGAGCTAATGCCACGTACCCTGTATAAGCTCATAAAGAATCACATTAATCCAGAACGCCAAATGTGCACTTCCCACCTTGCCGTGCACCCACCATCTTCTCCTTCTCGCTTACTCACGTCTTCTAGAGTCTTTACTCCATCCACAGCGGCGTAGTTCACCAAAGACAATGATGATTTAATATTGAAAGCTTGCCAAGGCAAATGGTTCGTTTCTTGTCTTCTAGAGTCTTTACTCCATCCACAGCGGCGTGGTTCACAAAGACAATGAGGATTGGATATTGAATATTGAAAGCCTGCCAAGGCAAATGGTGTCCGAGTTAGCTTGATCATAAGACGTAACGTGTTTTGGTTTGTTTACAGCGATATAGGGAGCCTGGAGTAGTTGCCGTCCCTTGGTGACTGACACTGTATTTGCATTGCATAAACTGTAAGCGCTTAAGCGCGCAAGCTCTCTGGCCTCAGGTGTGAGCTGCCCTGTTGTAGGCAAGTTGCTTTCGTCCCTTACAATTGGATATGTATCGTCCTGGATCGCAGATTAATTTTTTTTTGCTCCAGTATAGCGTTCTGCAAATGACTAGGTGACCGCAAGCGCGCAAGCTGCCAGGTGTGAGCTCCCCTATTATGGGCAAATTGCAAATAAGCCACGCATACAATTTCCTTGTGTTACAAGGATGGGTAATCATAGTAGAGGTGCGGCACACTGCACATCGGGTCCCGTCCAAAGGTAAGTATCTCATCGATTGGGGATGCTGCTACCTGTTCATCAGTCCTCCGTTTCATCAGACATGCCACAGTGTATAAAACAGCTCTAATTTTCACTACCGTTCACAGCCCAAATTGATAAGAAAGCTCAAGCAAATCTTGGATAAACAACTAGAGCGAATTGGACACAGTTATAGAAGGGGGTTGAATTTTCATATTTCTATGTTTCCAGCTGAGCTGCGCTATGGATTTCTAGCTAAATACTCTAACAAAAACGCCTCTACAAAAGGTCTTTATTTATCAGAATTTGGACAAAATTTGCGCTTCTGGGCAGACCCAGGACGGGATCAGGACAGAACCCATTGGAGCCTCCGGCAACGTTCGCCAACCTGGGTTCCAAAGTCGTTATGATTCATCCTTAAGTACCTCCGAGTCGCCAGCTCATTGAACAGATGCCATATCAGCAAAGTTAGGCTTAAACGGAGTACCTCGCTGGCCCCTCGCAATTGCATTTGCCAGCTCAAGCCAGCTCAATCTCAAATATGGCTTGTGCTTGGACGAGTCTGGGCAAGCTTACCCTGTTGCCTACGCGAGCACTTTCAATTGTTCTCAGAGTGCGGTCTTGGTAAAACAAAAGCGTTGCCTTGTTCCATTCCTCCTTCTCATTATCACGGTTGCTTCCAAGTTGTTTCCTTTCTGTGTCGAAAGCGCGACGTCCAGGTGAGTCATAGATCCCTATTTGCAGCCGCTAGCATTTTTTATCTCACCCCTCACCTCTATCTCTATCAAGGACATATTTATCTGACACGTTGCCAATAAACGTGCATTTTATCCATTGAATAGAGCAGCGTTTGCTTATGGAAAGTGTGATCGTGGAGAAATATCTGCGAATAGCATGCATGTCTATCGGGTTTTATGAGCAAGTCTTTGATTTCTTCGTCATGGCCTCGTAGTCGTCGCAATATGCTGATTATGCTCAGTTATATTCTTACACTCCCCGCAGAATGGCGTTTTTACCAAAGCGAATCGTCATTTTTTCATTTAAGGTGTGTGTACGAAACCATTCACATACCACCGTTGACAAGCCCAATCACATCAGTCTTGCCTGCGTTTTATTCATTCTCATACGGTACTTTGTGTCCACATCCCGTTATGCGATTTCTTTGCTCACATTTGATGCAGCTATGTCAGTATCGTGACTATAGTAGTCAGCAATTACGGGTTCTTCTCCACTACCTTTACCCAACAAACCTGTCAAAAATACTATCTTGTTGCGCCTATCTTCAAAGGTGTGTCGTATTGGTATTCACGCACCAGGACTCTAGTGACCATGTTGTAGTCGTACAAACTATGATATCACAGGTCATTCTAGGTGTGAGGTGTGTCCCGTCGAATTGTTCGTGGGTTGCAGCTGCAGATTTAAAATACCGCGTAGAACATTCAATATTGCAAGAAGAGATAGGCGGATAGGAATTGCATTATTGCTGCTATACCTCTTCTCAATTTCGGTGAGCTCTTTACTACACAGACATGAAACCCTGTCTCACATTCACTTTAGGCGGAGTGGTTCGTTGATCTATTTCACAGGACCCGTAAGCTCTGGTCAATGTTTTGATCTTGATTTTGCTATTGACCTTTAGAACAAAAAGCTGCCGTCCTTGATTTAGTATGTCAGTGTTTCTTACAACGAGATCTCATACAAATAACGTTTTTTTTTGCACAGGGAAAGTGAGTGATTCCTTTACCACAGTGTTCTGTCCAGATCTCCATGAACCATAGCTGTACTTCAGTAAATTCTGCCAGAGTACTGTCAACCTGGTTCTTCTACTTCCCTGTGATGTTGTATGACATCGTGATGGTGACGGTATCTACCATGTATCTTCTGCGTTATAATCCTCTCAGTAGCAGGTGCGCCTTTTCTTTCACGTCTTTAGGGTTGCTAAATCATTGCTGTTAGAGTCGAACGGTTGATACGGGTGTAAGTACCTTGTGACTGACAGAACCGATGCGCGTCGCTCATCATAATTAGTCTGATTTATGACGGCATTGGATATTTTCTCGTGTTGTCCGGCAAGTGTGCTCTGCTTGTGACGAGTACCCTCTTAACACTCCTTCAGTGTCGAACGTATTGAACCTCATCTTTTATCATACGACCAATCTCGAGACTCAGGTACGTAGGCTGAATTATGGATACGCCAAAACTTAGCTCTATTGTATCCACTCGCTTCCATCATTAGTCGGCAGGGTAAGTTTCGCATCGTCTGGCGCCAAGAAGATCAGACTGCTCAGAATGCATCATCAGGGCATCAATAGGTTATACTGTGACCTGGATCATGAGCCAACGGATTCTCATTAGTATACGGGGTGCGCAACATCCTAGAGCTTGACTGCCATCCTGCTTATACACACTCGCAGAAATGACACAGCCAAATGCCCAACACATAGAGAAAGTGATCGTCGCGCGTCAGAGCACGCTCAATATGCAGAGAAGCGTGATGTCCGGCCTCCGCTCACAGTTCGAGTCTAAGAATTACTCCCGAGGCTCTAGAAGCTTAAGAAGCCCCATAAATACAGAGTTCAGGCCCACATCGCCTCGTAATCCCAACGACATGGAACTCAATATACGCGTACCCGTCGAGCGCCCGGTGGCAGTAGATGAGTCTAGGAATTCGAGCTCGCGGGGGCCACCAGTGGTGGAATGAGTTGGGGCACTGGCGCTTGGCAAAGCATCACAAGGATCAAACTGCAAAGTATCTACTACGGATGCTGACTACCCAACATACAATGTTTACGTAAAGAACCAGGCTTAGCGTAGGGAGAACCAAGACAGATACATAGTCTCACCGAAACTGCGAACGAATACGAATTGTTGTTGGCAGACATGTATATCAAACTGCTGATATATATAAATTGAAGTCAGACTAGCGAGTTCACAGCTGAATGTGACACCGTGACAATGTCGGCGTACGCGTGACCATAGGTCGTTTGAGTTTGTAGACGACTCACTAAGACAACAGGCAAGGAGGCCGCCACTACCCAATGGCCCCGACAAAAACCAGCAAGGTCTCTTCGACTTCAAAATCTTCAATTCAAAAACACTCTGCGTCTGGTGTCGGAGCACCCTCCCAACTTGCTCAATCGAGCCGTAAAGGCAAGAAGGCATGGCGGAAAAATATTGACATACAGCCTGTGGAACAAGGTCTAGAGAGTCTGCGTTCAGAGGAGCGAGTCATCGGGTGTGAAAAATTTGTGTCTTGCATATGTCTACCATCTAATCGCATGTATCGACTCGTGACAGCTCCACGCTACAAAAACAGACAGACAATCAATTGTTTGTTGTGGACACCAAAGGAGACGATAAAGGTAAGTTTTTGCAAGATATATCTAGGTAAAAAATATAAAAGTGTTCAGTTCGCAAGTCGTTACCGCGGTACTCTAAGGCCGAGTTGACTTCCACGAAAATACTTTCCCAACGATCTGCCATTCCTGCCGTGTTTTCTCGTCCGACAAAAGACTCTATACCATCACGATCAAAAGTCAGTAGGGCTGACAAGGAGCGCCTTCTTCGCATTGCAAAGCGGCCTAGAAAGGGTCCATTCAATGCAGTTATGGACCACACAGAGTTTGGTGCAGGGAGTGCTGTAATCGATGTCAGCGCTGCTGTGAAACATAGCGGTTCTTATGATCCATGGGCAGCCGAGGAGGTGGAAGAAATGGCTGATGGATTAGAACATACAACAAAACCTAAGATCAAGGCAAGACTTTTCTTCCTTGCTACCAGCAATTTGCTGATGATAGTCATAGCGCCCGGAGTTATCTCATCCTCGCGATGTCATAGAAATTCCTGCTGTGTTGGAGCCACATCAAGGATCATCATACAATCCTCCTACCGCGGCACACAATGAGCTTATCATGGAGGCATGCAAGGTAGAGCGACGTAGACAAGATGAAGCGGATCGATTGGCAGAAGTCCGACGCAAGGTCGCTGATGCACGCGCAATTGCTACCAATGTCACGGAAGGCCTTCCACTTGGAATGACTTTAGATGAGATACCCGCAGACGATGGTGAACCAGTCACACAGCACGATGCGGTTGTACCCAAGAAGCCATCGGCACGTAAAACTAAGCAGCAACGAGCAAAGGCGGTGCGATTCCGCGAGGAGGTAAGCCTTTCATCGCTTTTTTACCATCGTCGCTGACCTTGCACTAGAAACAAGCACTGGCAGAAAAGGCAGCAAGAAAAAAAATGCTTGCCACGATCACAATGGCTAAATCTTTCCGTTCAACCGCGGAGAAAGTTAGCCAACAACAAAATCAAGCACGATTGGCAAGGCAGCTGGCACTGAAGATGAAGCTCAGAAAGGGCTTGGCTGGCCAACGGCTAGGGAAATATAAAGTTCCTGAAAATGAAATCGAGGTTCAGATTGGAGAGGATCTGAGTGAAAACCTACGAACGCTGAAGGTGTGTCGACTGCACCAATTTTAATCGACATCGCTGATAGCCTCCTGTCAGCCCGAGGGCAACTTATTCCGTGATCGCTTCCGTAGCATGCAGCAAAGAGCCCTCATTGAGCCTCGCGTACCCGTCCTGTGAGTATTCGTGATGTGTTTCAGCGCAGTTTTTGACGTCCTTTGCCCTGTAGCCCAACTAGGCGAGCGAAGCTGAAAGAGTTTGAGAAGCACGCCTGGAAAAGATTTGAGTAGCTAGTATTACTCTTTCCTATGTTACCGAACTTTGAGCTTCAAGTCTCACGGGACGCACCTGTGTCCAGCACATGTTGTACATCAGCTCATGATACGGCACCCGTAACTTTTGCAGTAAGTTTGGTGAGATTCTGAAGTTCTGTGACAGGGCTCATTTCCCCTAGCTATGTGGCGCGGCTCTTCCCACTAGACGTGCATGTTTCTACGATGTGGCAAATGATTCAGCACCAATCACAACAATCCATTGGTTCAACGCATCGGTCACATCAAAGTTAGTGGCCAGCGCGTGTCACGACTCGCAGAGATGGATGGGTGCGTATGGAGTTCCTGGCTTCAGCAAAAAGACGCATGGATGTTTGCCTCTGAGCACCTTCGAGTTTTTCTCCATTGATGACAACACTTGGACTGCTGAATCTTTGAAATATCGAAACACCACATTAATTAGCATAAGAATGTCGTTGTTGTACATAAACTTGGCTGGTTCAATAGCGCGTCATGGCTTCAATCGTCGATCAAGCTAGGTACCAAAAAAATGGACACTGTGGGAGTTGAACCCACGACCTTACGCATTCCCGATTTGCGAAGCGTACGCGCTACCAACTGTGCCAAGGGCCCGCGTGTGTTGAATAACACATGCATACGTCACTGGCTGAATTATTTCACTATAACGGAACGTGCAATTGGGACTCGACCACTTCGTTTCATATCCAAGTGTCTACGGATGGAAATTGATTATATTGAGAACGAAGTCTCCATACTGCAACCTCCCGCAGCACAGAGAAGACGAATCCGACCAGTAGACGATGCTCATCCTTTCGATCTGGATGCATACATCTCGGGATATTCTGGTATGATATCAAACACCCCTCTTGATGCACTAGCTTAGATCGAGGTTTCCGACTCTCTAAGGTCGTACTGCGCTTGACAGGCTTGTGCACATTATCTCAACATGTCCGACTCTGGCACCACAGGCATTGAAGCTGGCGTTCGCGCAGATCGAGGAGCTTCGCGATCCAACCCTTTATCAGACCGTGATGAATGCATATGATGCTGTGGCGGACCTCCCAGAGGTGCAGCTCCCTCCGACTAGCGAGCTGTGTCCAGTAAACACGGTGTGGTGCGAAGAGATTACGAAGAAGAATCAAGCGGAGAGAACGAAGCTAGAGGTCGAATTGAAGACGTATTCTAACAACATGATTAAAGAGAGCATAAGGGTACGACCAGCATCTTAGTTTCTTCAGAGACTCTGAATATCATCTCTCCATCAGATGGGCCACAGAGATCTCGGTGACTTCTACCGTGCCACTGGAGACTATACTCAAGCACTCAAACATTATACGAAATCAAGGGAGTTCTGCTCAACAAGCCAGCACGTTCTTGACATGTGTCTTTCTGTGCTAGAGGTAGATTTTAGTTCATTGATATTATTTTTGGGTCATTCATTCCTCCTATAGCTTGTGATTGAACAACGTAATTACTCACACATATCTTCCTACGTTTTCAAGGCGGAGGGTGCACTTGATACGGCAAACGCAGCAGCAGCATCCAACTCAACTGCGGGTTCCGCTGCACCTCCACCTAAAAGGTCAGCGGAGCGTGACCAGGTACAATCCAAGTTGGATTTCGCGATGGCTTTGTTCCATTTAGGACAAGCCAACTACGAAAAAGCCGCTCAACTTTTTCTGAAGATCGGTCCTCCAGATTCTCTTGGCGATTGGATTGGCAAGGTAGGCGATATTCTCTATCCAGCCAGACTTTGCTTATACTCTTTTAGCTTGTCGCTCCTGGTGACTTTGCGGTGTATGGAACACTATGCGCTCTTGCCAGCATGTCGCGATCTGCCATCAAGTCTCAACTTACAGGAAACGCTATTTTCTCTGCGTACATTGAGCAAGAACCGTATGTTCGAGACTTAACCCAGTCATATCTCTCAAGTGATTTCAAAAACGTCCTGGAGCTTCTTGAACGGTACTCGGTATGTTTTGTATATATCAAAATATATAACTCTGAGCTGTCTTTCTTGCACCAGACGCGTCATTACGTGGACATTCATATATACTCACATGTATATGATCTGACGAACCTCATTCGTAATGTCGCAGTCGTGCTTTACTTCCAGCCATTCCAGACCATTCGCCTCGACAGAATGAGCGCGGCATTCGGCTGGACCGTCGACGAGGTTGAGAAGGAGGTAGTCGCGCTCATTCAAAGCGGCCAGATTCAAGGCCGAGTTGACAGTCAGAACAAGGCCAGTGAGACTTGTTGGCATAACTATGGCGAGGATAACGCTGACACTATTAACAATACAGATCCTGAAAGCGAGGAAAGTAGATCATAGGGCCGAATTATTTGCGCGTGCCATAAAGACCGCTGCTGAGATACAAAGCACCAACCGCAAGCTACTGTTGCGGATG